CAGTTCGATCCCCCAGCACCACATGCCAGCCAGCCCGCCCCCTGGTGGGCTGAGCTGGCCACACACACACACACACACACACACACACACATAAATGTAAAAAAAAAAAAAAATAAAAAAAAAAAAAAAAAAGTAAATCAAATGCTAGGCTTTAGTTCACATACCTCCTATCTGTAGCTCTGGACAACCCATTCGTCTCATCTGGGTGCTGACAGACTCAATCTCCTGTACAAGTGGCACTAGTATTGTCTCATTGATCCACTAGGAAGAAATAAGTATAGATTTTGTATATGTAATTTCAAAGTATTCCTTTTTTAAATTTGTATGTATGTACGTATGTATGTACATACATATGTATATATGTATTTTTATGTTCTAGGAATCAAACTCAGGACCTTGCACTTGCCAGGCAGGTACTTGTACCACTGCACTATATCCCCAGCTCTTATTTTTTTTTTTTAAACATAATTTTTTTTTGGGGGGGGGGTGGAACCAGGGATTGAACTCAGGCCCTTGTGCTTGCCAGCCAGCTCTTATTTTTTAAGAAGAATAAAAAATAGTAAAAGCAACAAAACAATTAGAAATGATACAGAATTTCATTGAATAGGAATTTAACAGTGGTTGTTATATTGCAAATTGTTGCTTTCAAATTAGTTGTTCAGATTATCAGATCATGAAAAATTTGTGAAAAGTTGTAAAAAATTAAAAAGGAGAAAAAAGAATTTAAGCATTAACTGCTTCTTTCAATAGATGAGCAGAAATCAGAAGTACAATTACCAAGCTGTCCTGTATATATAAATACATAAATATTTCTTCTTCCCTTCCTTCTCCAAAGTATTTCAGAAATAATTATTTTAATTGCTAGAAGCAACTAAGAATGCTTTTGTCTTGTATTTGAATATTAACAGAACTGTCAAGTATAGGGAAAGAGAATGGAAGCAGAAGCTCTGTAAAGGTGGCAGAGAGTTAAGTAAATATGCTACTGGAGTGCTAATTATTTTAAGACTAGGAGTTAGGCACAGTGGCACATGCCTGTAACACAAGTAGACTGGGAGGCTGAGGCAGGAGGATCACAAGTTCAAGCTCAGCCAGTATATTTTAGCAAGATCTTGTCACAAAATAAAGGGGCTGGGAAGGTTACTCAAAGCAAAGACCCTAGGGGGCCTGGCCCTAGCTCAGGCCTTTAAGTGGCTGCTTCCACAAAGCTGTCAGCCTCAGGTTGCTGGAGTTCGAACCTCACCCCTCTCCCGCTGGCCAAAAGTGCCCTGAAGGCATTCGAGGAACCAAAAAAAAAAAAAATTTCCTTATTCCATTAGGGATGGTGAGATGGCTCAGTGGTCTAAAGCACCTACTTAGAACAAGCTTAGCAGAGCACAGGGACCGCGGTTCAATCCCCCAGCACCACATGCCAGCCAGCCCCGCCCCCTGGTGGGCTGAGCTGGTCACACACATACACACACACACACAAATAAATTTAAAAAAAAAAAAACAAAAAACAAAGCAAAGACCCTAGGCTCAGTAATGGGGGTGCGGAGGTACAGGTGGCAGACTAGAAATTTCAAATGCCATGCTCTACAGTATCACGCTAATCTTGGATGTGAGAAAGACCATCCAAATAGTCTCTTTGGTATGTTTGTGTATTACTGTTTTATGTGTTCATGTAGCAACTTCAGCCAAAACTTTAAAAAAAAATTTTTAGAGAGAATACAAAATGCTAAAAAAAAGATACAAAATAAAATAATATGAATTCGACAATGGTTGCTTTATTACCTTCAAATCAGTTGTCCAGATTTTCTAAGATTTTTCTTTTTTCTTTTCTTTTTTGTGGTACCAGGGATTAACTCAGGACCCTGTGCTTGCCAGGCAGGCGCTTATGCTGCAAAGCTAAATCCCTGGCAACCAACACTTAATTTTCATGCTTTAACCATAAAAATGAAATAATGGGGGGCTGGGGAGATGGCTCAGTGGAATAAGTGCTTCCCTGGTGTGTTAGTTGATACATTGTGTCAACTTGGCTGAATCAGCTCTGGCAGATCTCAGCATGGGGACCTAGCCCTGCAGGTGGGCAGGACCCAGGAATTGAGAAAGGGGAAGCCACCCTGACTGGTTTCCTGCTGCAGGCGCACTTCCGTGGAGAAGTCTCAGTCTTCCGAGGAGCTTGATCTGCAGCCGCACCACTTTGGAGGAGCTCTGATCTTCACTGTGGAGCGCTGATCTTCGCAGTCAGTGTAGAAGGAAGAGAGAGGCTTGATGGACGCCGCAGCTGCTGCTCCTCCTCTGCTCTTCATTGTTTTCTGCTGCATGAACTGCTGTTGTTTGCCTTGGAGCCAGCAGAATATGGACTGAACCCTCCAGTAACTGTGAGCTAAATAAACCTTTCCTTCCTTCATTTTGTGTGTCGGGTATTTGTCCCAGCAACAAATAAAAAATAACTAAGACACCTGGCAAGCGCAACCTGAGTTCAATCCCTGGTTCTTCAAAAAAAAAAAAAGAAAAAAGAAAAAAGAAAAAAATGTTTCTGACAAAGCCCACAATTCCTCATAAATATATTTCAATTCAAAACCTCTGAAAACTGAGTTGCTTTGCAGTGCATATACCAAGCAAAATTCAGTATAGTGAAAGACTCAAATTAAAGTCACATAAAGCTGTTTATGAATTTTATCCAATTTATTTAACTATACAGATAATTTGCTGCAGTAATGTGGTTGATTACTGGGTGCTGGGAAAATGTATTATCTATGTGTATTGCTTTTAAGAAATCCAGGGGCCAAGGAGATAGCTCAGTAGAATAAGTGCTTGCCTGGCAAGCACATGGGCATAAGTTCAATTCCTGGTTACACACACACACAAAAAAAAAAAAGAAATCCAAAGAATACTCAACTTCAGGACACAATAGCCTAAGAAATTCAGAGGAGGAACTATTTTTAACTAGTTAATGTTATTGACAAAACTTTGTATTTTTTAATATATGAGCATCTTTAGACCAATATATAAGAAAATACAGCAGCAGATAGTTCCATGTCATCATCTCACTCATTCCTCTAAAGTTTATTACATACAACCTACTTGCCAGGTACACTTTGGCTGCCACACAATCATCTAAGCTGTTCAGGAAAGAGATCTAGGCCTCACACCCAGAAATTCTGAGTAGAGTTCTGGAACCAGGCTCAGAAATTTTTATTTTCTTCCTGTTACTTTTTGTAGTGCTGAGGACTACACATTAGGCAAGTGTTCTACCATGGGAGCTATGTTTGTACCCTAAGTTTTCCAGGCTGGCCTCAAACTTGATCCTTTTCTTCAGCCTCCTGAGTAGCTGGGTTTTCAGTCATCTGACAATGTGCCTGGCCTATTACAATATTTTTCTATTTCTGTTTATTTTTTGGTTTATTATAATTTTAACTGAGAGTGGTAGTTTCTTTTTTTAACCTTTATTTTTTTTTTT